TTTCAAGTACAGCTGATTCTTTTTCTTTGTCGACGAAAAGAAAAGAGATCTGTGTAATCGTAGTGTCAAAATGTCAAAAGACTGAGAGAGGTTGAAAAAAAGAAGAAAAGAAAACACACACACACACACACACACACACACACACAAACCTTAAAGGCATCCATACAGTCCTCAGCTTTACAAATTCTTGGCTCACATAAAATACTTGTGACATGCTGTAATTAACTAGTTACTCCTCTCAGAATGAATAATAATGCAATTATTCACCAAAAGCAGTGAAGAAGGGTTAGTTTCTGCTTTTAAAAATGTGTTCTTTTCATTTTTGTATAAAGAAAAACCCTGGATTAATTTACATAAGCTGCTAAAGCAAAATGATTTGCAATTTTATTATTACACTTATATGATAATTCTGTCACCGTTTTATCAAAGACTTATATTTCTCATTGGATGAAAGTATCAATAAACTGACAAGTTGCTATCATAGTTAAATTATAGTGGTGCCAAAATCTGTAACTAAAGATCACAAAATGTAAATAGTGGCCTGGCCAGTGGAAGCATCTCCTTGTCACAATGAGAGACCAAAGTGTTTGAGGTCCTAAAGAACCAGTAGCCTTGCTGTGGAAAGACAAAGAAAGGAAGATGTGAGCCTTATTTGTTTAGGAGCTGCAATCTCCTTGGTGGCCTCACCTGTGCCAAGTAGCACAAAAATAGATGAGAATTTTCATGACTATATCACCAGTTATCTCTCTTAGTTGTTGTTAAACCAAAACTCGTGAGACAGAGAGTTCTCTAAAATCAGAGGAATTATTGAGCAATTATGTACATTTGAGAGAAAAAAAGAAAAAAGGAAGGTTTAGGTCCTAGGATAGCTTAGCTAGTAACAGCAACAAGGTTAGAGAGCAATTAGGGCTGTCTTCTAACTATAAAGTGAAGAGTATTTTTAAAATGAAATCTGAGGAAATAGATTTAAGTTGTTTGCACAGTATTTACATTAATTATTGATGAATTATTGAAGCAGAAAAAATCTTGGGATAGATGGAGAGTCCATTCATTCATCAAAAGTACTTGGTGCTTTATGATTAGTCAAGGTTAATAGTTGAGAAAGTTCAAAAGTGGGGTGCAGTGGCACCTGAAATTCAGTAAACGGGGGTCTGAATCAAGCTTTCAAGTTTATATTTGCACACTCCTTTACTGACTACCATCCTCTAGTTCCCACACCCTACCCCTTCCAGTCCCTTTAAATTTAATTTAGGATATCCCAAAATGTTCCTCGGCAGTGCTGATGTCTAGCACAGGGACTGTTTTCTTGTACTCCTTCCAACTCCATCTGGCCATTCTCTCAGCAATTCATTCAACAAGCACTCTCAAAGACCATACAATACAAAGTGCTGGATACCAGGAATTCAAAGATAAGTAATATGCCTTTCCCTTGAAAAGGTTATGGAAAATTAAAGATATAAATTGTTAAATAGGCACATTAACAATGTAGTAAATGCCACCATGGAGGTAGGTGTGGGCCCACCCCATGAAACATACACAAATCCATTCACTAATAGAAACAAGCAAAGCCTCTGTTCTCTTTGTACATAAACTTTCAGAAAGTTTCTGCTTCAAAGAATGCTGAGACTTGGAAAAGATTTACTGCTAAAACTCTCAGATTGTGTAATTTCGATAAAGTCTATTGGGGTGTATTTTTTGTATGTGTACTTAAATGTCTGTTTTTACATGGAGCCAACATTATATAGCATTTTATTTAAGGATACAATTTCTGGTTAACTGATGCTTTAAGTAGTGAGGTTAATGCCAATGAGATTGATTATTCATGCTAAGAATAGTTATTCATTTATACAATCTTAAAACTAACATTCACCAATATAAAAAAGTGATATTAAAAAAGGTTGATATAAAAAAGGTTGGATCACTTATTCGGGATGATGGAGACTAAGAGTCAATGTAAATTCATAAGATTATAATAAATATTCCAAAAAATAAATATAGTGTGTTTCAGATTTTGTTCATCCACAAAGTATCCCTTTAATCTGTTAATGATAGGAATCTATATCTGTTCTATTTTTTTCTTCAACTTTCAGTATGTAGAATAGTGCTGGCTCTGTTCTCAAACTGCCTAGATTTCAAACTAGGCTCTTCCCCTTACAAACCTGTGTGACTTCTTCAAGAATCAATTTTCTTATCCTATGAGATGGAGACAGTAATAGTGGCTACTCTTTTTTGAGAACACAAAATTGTTACTCATTTGATTTAGTTATTTGTACAGCATGTACTCATGGAAAGTTTAGTGTGTCCAAAGTATTAGAAAGAAGAGGCAAAGATAATTTAGTCTGTGTCAATAGAGGTCAAGGTGGACTTAAAATTTTAGACTATGATCTTGGAACCCTGCCTGTGTTTCCAATTAATAAAGCTTCTAACAGACTTAGATGCACAAAATACAGTAAGTGATTATATAATCAGAGCTAATTGGTATAATGGAAACAAATGATGGGTTCTTGATAATACAGTCACAACATTTTTTCTTTTCCAAACTGAAGTTTTCTAGCTATTTTAGCAAATCCTTGAAGCTATTTCCACATATTAAAAATAATAATAATAATAATCTTCATAGACTTCCTTTTTCCGGTGATTGCTGACATTCTCGAAAAGCTTCTTTGTTGTTGTTGTTTACTTTTATACTGATTTATTTATTATATTGGAAGTCCAGCAAGTAGGAAAGAAAGAGGGAGGTAAAATGAAGGTATGCAATATAGAAAAAGACCAAAATGGCCCACGTGTACATGAAGCTTATATCCCAGGAAAACTATATCTTCACTTCACCTCAAGGAATCTCTGTCCTTCATTTGAGATGAGACTAAAAGTCCCAGATATCTCTATCTTTTTCTTATCCATTTCCTGAAAGGCTTTATTTGAAGCAGCAAGAGCCAGAAATTTCCAAAGGGAAAACAAATCTTGAAAGGAGGCCCTGAGCAAGCAATGCTGGGAAAGGAGAGGGAGGACAGTGTGGGTGGTGGGAATTCTGTGGCACTAACACCAAATCAGTCAAACTAGAGGAAGAATAAATAAAGGGAAAATAAAAGGAGTTAGCCAATTGGAAGGAGGATTTATTAAAATATACTGAATAATTGTTCAATTTAGGATTTTGGCTTAATTAAGTGAATTTTTCTCACTGAAAGATCGATTCTGGTCAAATCAACCACACTTTCTCTTTCTCTTCTTATTTCATCATTTTGTTGTATCAAATATATTTCAGAACTGTTAGTTATTTTGAGTCCAGATATATTTGATATGCATTCCAGCATTTCTTTGGGCTTAATTCAGAGATATTCATAAAGCCCTTGATATTTTACTTTACTATTTAGATAGACAGATGAAACAACATACTTTTATTTTCTGCTAAACATTTATCTCCTTAAAAAGACTCTTGAAAATTAGAAACATAATCAAACCTAAACTGGCTTAAAGGCAAAATGAACCACTTTTTTTGTTTTTAGTTGTAAATGGACACAAACGCACTATTAATAACAGTCTAGGTAATTCTAACATGTATGATCTATGAAATACTCTCTGGTTCAGTAAACACACCAATCAAGCAGTGATTTCCCAAAAGTGAGTCAGGTACTTAAAAAATACAAAATCCCAGACTCTACCCAGATTTACTGGAGCCCAGGACTTTACTTATGAATCTGTGTATTTATCTGGGAAATTCTAAATTTACAACACGTGGCATTAGGGGGAAAGGGTTGGGTTTTAGTTTAACATATCTGTAAATGGATCCTTGTTCTACAATCAACTAGCTCTGATGTTTTGTAATATCTGGGTCTATAAAGTGAATGTTGTGAGGATAAAATAAAACAATGTGTGTTAAGAGGCCAACATGTCGAAAGCTGGTTATTACTATTATCATTATATTCCCAGCTCAAGTAAGATGTACAGAGCAAACTGTGTGATTCACATCTTCAAATAGCATATAATCTCTTTAGGAAAATAATGTAAACATTAATAATAATTTTAAATGTGAATTTATATTCTAAATCAGTAACTGATTTGCACACATACACACCCAAAATCACAATATTCTGAATAACAAAATAAATTACAACATTAACTAGAAGAACATTGAAAAATCATATAAAGTATACTTCAAAATGTTTGATTCTTATAGTTTAGATGACCTAATTCTTATTAGTTCACCAAATATTGTTTGGATGCTGAAAAAGTGTTAACATTATGAATGACTATCTACTCATTCATTATTTCATTATTTAAGTTGAGAGGTAGAAAAAAGGCAATGAATATCTTGGGAAAAAAATCCATAGGTATGGATCAAAGGACCTAAGAGATCTCAGAAATTTTATACAAATGTTTGTTTATATGAGTATTGCCAATTTCTAGGAAGTAATTTATAGATTTTATTTCACTCCCAAAAGGTTTTGTGACACCCAAAAATGTTAAGGGACCACTGAAGATTCCCATTTAGCACAATTTATGCACGTTCTTCATTTGAAGAAATTTCACTCATTCTTATATTCCAAATAATTTCCTTGTTTTCTCTTAACTGCCATCTGAGTCATTTCCTCAAGCTTTGAACATTGAGATACCCTGAGAAAGGAAGGAACAGTAAGGTTGCAGTTTAGAGACTATAGAGAAGTTTCATGATTTTCTTGGCCTATTCAAATTCTGCACACATCAGCTTGGAAGTTTATGTGCACAATTTAAAAGTTCCAGAGGCAGAGATTAACTGATGATCACTTTCTGACGTTTTCTCTATTCTTTTTTATCCTTTCTTCAATCTTTTGAATTATTTTCTGTTAGTTCTATTTCTTTTCATCTCAGATAGAAAAGTGCAAGGAGCTTCCCTGGAAGAATACAATTAAATTTTACCAACCTGTATTCTGCCAAACTAGCAATTCTTCCATTTGTGTTTTATTTATAGTGTGGTAATAATACTATTGATGTTACATATTTTTACTTCTCTCTTCTTCCTTTAGGTGTGTGTGCAACATTGACTGCTCTCAAACCAACTTCAATCCCCTCTGTGCTTCTGATGGGAAATCTTATGATAATGCATGTCAAATCAAAGAAGCATCATGTCAGAAACAGGAGAAAATTGAAGTCATGTCTTTGGGTCGATGTCAAGGTAATGTTCATACCAAAATTCATTTCAAAGAATGTTTTTAGTCTTTGTGCAGAAATGAAAAGTGAAGATAACTCCTTATTAGGCAGCTATTTCATTTCCAAAAGACAGTTCTGATTTACAATGGATGGTGTAGTCTACTACAGTGTTTGTGTTGATTATAGGTGTTTGAGGGTCTATCAGCAACAGTCTGCAGCTTTTTCTATATAATGGGACTGTATTGTCACAGTATCATGGACACAGAAGATAATGTTCAGAAGATAGCAGGCATTCTTGTTGCAAAGAGTAAAAAGAAAGTCAAAATGATTTTTAACAAATAATTTATAAATTTATTAGGAATCTTGAGATTAAAAGCAAATCACACCATTTTTATGTTGATTCAGTAGAAATATTCAAGTATATTTTAAAAAGCAGATATATGGAATGTTCTATTTCATTTTTTTGTTCAGATACAAACATTTGAGGGGTGGTTGATTTGTTATTCCTTTATTCAACTTATCTCAGTTATAATTATGAGTTATTTCCTTGTCTCAAAAGTTTAGAAAACTGGCATTATTTTCTTAATTTTTCCCAAGCAGAAATATGCATTGGAAATCTGTCTTTGTACACAGGTTGCTTAGAACTATAGTACAAAAAAAAAAAAAACTTTAACTGCAATGAAGATACTGCTGGGTATGTTTGATATTAAATATTTAGGAGACAGTTAATCAATCTTTATTATTAATTTTTTAACACAGATAACACAACTACAACTACTAAATCTGAAGATGGGCATTATGCAAGAACAGATTATGCAGGTACATAAATTTTTTTACTACAAAACATGAGCACTTCTGTAAGAATTCTAAGAAATCATTGTTTCTTATTTATCCTAGATTGAACCTTGCAAGACTTATGATATGAGCTGGTCTTCTCTTGTTTAATTCAAGCTTTCAATACACAAGAATAAATTTTTCTTGAAACAAATAACACATACGTTTTTTTTTTGTCAGAGTTAGAGCAATTGTCAAAAATGTCAGTAAGATATAATTAAATTGTTTTGACAGTGCAAATGGTACAAATGACAAAACATTTATCAAATTAATGGGCATCGATGGAAATTAATGCAATTTTTGGCAGTATATTATAATAAATGCAAATGTTCTTATTTCAATTTTTACAAAAAGTCAACAAAGAAAAAGTTTGCTAGTCTGAAAAGCTAAAAGGATAACTACAAATAGTAATGTAGGCTGTCTCTTTAGATGCTAAATTAAAACAGTATGTATAATTTATTTTAAAAAATAAAATCCTTTAATTTATTTAGAAACTAGACTATAGCTACTCAGACATGCAAAATCATAAAAAATTCTATGCAAAAAATATAAATCTTTTGCAACTATAGAATTTTATATTCAGGAATAGCTCTACCTAGTATAATTTTCTTAGATTTAGAAATAATATATGGTATATAATTGGAATGTTATCAGATTCTTAAACTGTATATAATTTTTTTGCTTAAAAACGAGAAAATGAAAGTATCAAGGCTGATAATAACATGTAAAATATTTTTAAATAGAATTTTCTATATAGCTATTAAGAAGCAATTGTAATTATTATGGCTAAAAATTAATCAAAAGGCATTGCTTGTTATCTTTCAAATATATACTACCATTTGAAAGTTAATTTCCTTTAATAATATTTCTGACACTTTATATATATATATATATAAAAAATTATAAAAGAATTATATATATACATATATATATAATTCTTATGAAATTGGAAAAATAGTTCACCAGATGTTTTATTTGTAGATCTCCCAAATATCTCAGAATTTGGAAAAAACAAAAGGATTCTTTTAAAAAACTTTTTCACATTTTATCTTAATATTTTCTAACATGTGAATAAAACTTCTCATATGCCAAAAGCCTGGAGTTATCATGAACAATGATACATGGAAAAACTTCAGTTTCGCCATTATATACTCCTTTCCAAAGCATCCAAAAGATATGTCAATAGATGTTCCTTGGAAAGAATAGTCTAATGGTCAATAAGTTTAGGGAGAGCTGAGATAAACAAATGGATCTTCTACCCAATACTCCTCATAGATCTTACATTAATTATAAAATCTTTAAGAGATATGCATGTTTTATTTATATCCATAAGCAATTGGTTTCAAGATTACTTCACAGATACCAAAATCCAAGGATACTCAAGTACCTTACATGATACGGGATAGTATTTGCAAATAACTTAAACATGGCTTCTTGATGATTTATACTACTCAATACAATGTAAAAGCTATGTAAATAGTTGTACTATATTGTTTAGGAAATAATGACAAGAAAATAACCCTGTACATGTTCAGTAAAACACAGTTGTTTATTTTTCAAATATTTTTGATCAGTGATTGGTTTGAGTCCTAGAATGTGGAACCCATGAATACAGAGGACCATTTTTTTTTTATTTTACTGCTTTTTGTCAATCATTTCTAATATATGTGAAGTACACTCAAACATAGACTGTCTTCTTTAAGGAACCCACATGTATTCATCATTCAAACCTAGTAACATCAATTCATAACTAACCCATTCTCATGCCTACCCTATTCTCTCTCTCCACCTGCATAGTATGTGAAATTAAATCCAAACATTGTATGATTTCATTCATGGTTAAACATGCATCTCAGAAAGATCAACCATTATTTAAAAAATTATAATACCATAATTATGCCTAAAATAGTTAAAAATAATATCTCATGATATACACCTTTTATCTAAATTATCTGATAAATAACACATTTTGTGTCACATTATACAGTACTCAAGTTCTCAGAAATGTACCTGAGGTATGTTGTTCCATAGAAAATAATTATTAAAAATAATAAAACACAGTAATAAAAAAATTAAGTCTAATAATACATGCTTAAAATTGTGGATAAATCAAGTATAAATTTTATACTTTTTTATAATAATAACTATATATTGACAGTGACCAAGCCACTACTAATAACTAACTGAAAATAATTTTATATCTGTTATTCAAATCAATTCACTTGGAAAAAAATTTTAGGAACTATAACATTCAATGAAAACCTTCTCCATTAAACCATCCATCACTGGACTAATAAAACATAAAATTTTCTCCCTGAAACAAAGAACTCTTCAAGTTGATTAGCATCATGTGCAAATATAGGAACATTTATGAATTGTACCAATAAATACCATGATAGAGTTAACCATTCTCTCAATGTTATTCAGGTTTTATATATCCATTTGTTCATTTTCAAAAAGAAATTCTTACTTCAAAAAAGTTTATACATTGTGTTGGTTTCAAACAGATTATCTCTGATGTTCAGTGTCACTGTTTTTAATTGACATGGTTTCCTAACTTATCCTCTATTGGACACAGAAATAAAAGAGAATTTTTTTCAGTACATGCAAGTGAAAACTATTTACTCACTCAGTGTGGTCCAGAATTTTCTAGTTTACCACCAAATTTATCTATTAAATCTCAAAGAAAAAAGTTTAAAAATACATGCTTGTTCCAATACAAATTTACAACAGAAATACTAATGTCAACTGAAGCTTACAATTCCTAATTAAACATTGATTGCATACTTAAAATTCTCCTGGAATTTACTTTAGATAGCTTTATTTTCATTAGTGGTTTTTATTGAAATACATTGTGTACACCCTTTCAGAAATTACTTATTTCCTCCTCATTTCTTAGCTTCCAGTGCATCTTCCTGAGTTTGGGGACATAGAGACTTTGGGGGGGGGGAATGAAAGGAACAAAGTGGACAGTCAATATGTCATTGTGCTCTTCATTTACATTTCACGGGCTAAAATCTTCCTAAGAAGGGAAAGCATAAACGGAATGATTCACATTCCTTGAAGTTTGCTATTTTCTCACAGCTAATTTAATACCACATACACTTTCCTCCTTAGTCACAGACTCTCCCACCAGAGGGAAGTAATGATCTTAACACACTCTCATTTCTCTATTATGTCATTGATACTGTAAATTTAAAACCCTTACCGGCTCCCTTCTTTTGTTCTTCCAAGCCTCCAAAGTTAGAAATACAAGAGCACATCTTTCTCAATATAAAAATGGGTATCTTCTTGAAAGAAAGCCCAAATGTGAAAAAGAAACCAAAATTATTATACCTCTTTTTTTAAAAGAAAGAAAATTCAGCAAGATCTAGGAGAGTTTACAAAAGAAAGAAAGAGGAGGGGGATCAGGGAGGGAGGGAAGGAAGGAGGAAGAGGGAAAAGAAAGAGAAAAAGGGAAGAATAAAGTGAGGCAGCGAAAGAAAGATGTCAACTAAGAAAGCAATCCTAAAATAAAATTACCATGTGCAATAGGCTACAGTGTGTCTGACTTACATGAAGATGTGAATTCCATAATCTTCACAGGCACATAAATGTAGACAGTTCCAGGAAACCAAAGAATTTGCCACATTGCCCCCTGCCTGCATTTTTTTTTTCTCTTTGCCCTGACTTGGGTTCTATTCTGTCCTCTCTCCTTTAATGAGACCCAAGTTGCTGCTGAATCTTGAATCCAGGGCTTTGGGTACCTGTTTCAAGGCCTAGTGGCAAGTTCCCTGCTAGATGAGCTAAACAATTTAATGTTGCTTTCCCTTCATCATTCTAAGAGGTGGGCTTAGATGAGGACAGTGCATTCTCCTGCAGAAAGTTTCAAAAGAACACAAATTTTATAAAACCACAAAGCCAGGGCCTTCAGGGATTTCCACTATTTTAAACTGCTAATATTAAATTTTTCTTCTAGAAATTTAAAATAACAAATGTTTTATGCCTCTTGAAATCTGCAACATTTCCTTCAATGAAAATGTAATGCATACAGTATACATATGTATTGATATATATTTATCCCTATCATGTCTTGTAATGAAAAGAAAATGAAGCTTAACCATTCTTTTTCTCTTCATCTGGTATATGTATTTTCTGGTTGTGCTGCTTTTTTGTTGAAAAACCTGGTTGAGCTTCAGAATATGGGACTACATCTTTTTCTAGTAATAATGTACTTAATTCTATAAGGTGTTAAATGTTAAAAAAAAAAATAGAGTTCAACTCTTGTTTTCTTCATCGTCTGGAAAGTAAACTCTATTTTATTTTATGACTTTCTACACCAGGTTCCAAAAAGGATTTTCAGTGTTTTATAATTAAAATATATTCAATGAGATTGTTTAAGCAGAAATTGAAAACATAAAAACAGAACTGTTAAGAAAAAATAAATTTATCAGCAACATAAACCATTGCAGCTACTGCATTTAGCCCTGAGATAAAAGAGAAATTATGGTTGAGTCAATTTATTCCACAAATATCTATAGAGTTTCTTCCATAGGCAGACACTGTCTTGGGCTTCACAAAGGTGAACAAAATCAACCTAGGTCTTTGTTAAGTGGAACTTAGGTTTTCATTTTCTGATATAAATATAAAAAACTAAATTCAGAGACCAAAAATGAAGTTTCTTTATGGTAAATTATATTAGAACTATTTAGCATAGATCTTTTTACAAAGCATCACTGGAAAACATAGAATAGATAAGTCTTCAACACTGATTTTTATGAAACATGTCAAGAGGCTCTTTCTAATTTTTCTATTCATTTTAGGAGATTTTTTAAAAATCCATTTTTGATAAATTTCTAGAGCATAACATTAAAATATGTATAATTCAATGATAGTGTTTCTGTGGGAGACTAAAGTAATGAATTTCATTCATGTATATTTCCGAATTAGAAAGAATAAATAAATAGTGCAAAACACTAAGGAAAATGTCTATGAAAAAAAAAAAA